AGAGATCTGATTGTTTATGCCTTGTACCTTGATAAAAAAACAACACTTTGCAAAACATAACTGCCTGTTGGTAAAACCTTCCGACTTTTCTATCGTATTCATTCTTTTACTCATCACTTATAATCTGTGTGTATATGCAATATAGTTACAATATTCTTTCAGTATTCACAATTATTTTTTTAATGGTGAGATTGTTGATACTATATATTGTTTACCAAGCAGTAAGTAGGAACCCGGTTGTTGATTGATTGGCGGATTGCCAATCAATCAACAACCGGGTTCCTACTTACTGCTTCGTGGAGTCCTGTAGCTCAGTGGTTAGAGCACTCGCTTTGCAAGTGAGAGACCTGAGTTCAATTCCAGGCAGGGCGAAACCTTGGGCAAGTTTCCTTACTCCACACGCCTAATAATAATCCCTCCAAAACCAAAACAATAATAAATTGGTCATTTTCAATCTACGACTGTTTGTGGGACATAGCTGTGCGCAATTGGCTGCCGCGTTCGCCCACAAATATACAGTCAATTCACTTTACAGTGTGTTCTGTGAAGCGCTTTGGGACGTCCTCCTGACGTGAAAAGCGCTATATCAAATGCAAGGATTATTATTATTATTGCTTTCCAGGAGGTAGTAATTCCACACCATAAAAGGGATTTAGTCACTCAATTCATGACTGTTTGTGGAACACAGAATCACAGTCAATCCACTTTACAATATAAAGTGCTTTGAGACTTCTTGACAACTTGATAAGGCATTATGTCAAATGCAAGGATTATTATTATTACTATTTCCATCCTTAGTTCGGAGGGAGGGCAAAATCAGCCTGTTAGCTTTGTCCTGCTTCATGTCCCCCCACCACCTCACCATCAACAGTCGGGCCTTCAGCCTCTCTGCCCTCACCCTCTGGAACTCCATCCCGCAGTCCCTTCGCCTTGCCCCCTCCCTTTCCTCCTTCTAGGCCCATCTCAAGACCCTCCTTTTCGACCGTGCCTTCGGTCAACTCTCCCTGCCCTCCATCCCTCCTGATCCCAACCCCCAGCTCAGGTCCAAATCCTTAACTGTCTGGCACCTTGGGACATCCTCCCGATGTGAAAGGTACTATACAAATGTATTTTGTTGTTGTTATGCAGAAATGTGGCAACTCATGAACTCAATTCATGAGTTGCCACATTGCTGCAGTTCAGCTCACTACAACTGAAGAGCCTGTTGATACTGACTGACAAGGTTTATACATGAACAACAGGAACTTGGGCAGGAAACCAGAGGGCGAACAGTGCTCTTAGAATTACATACCAGAAAGAGGAGATCAGACCAAGAGCAGAAAGGCATGTGCCAGTGGGGAGAAAATTAGAAAAAACAATTGGTTGCACTAAATTTGTATAAAAAAGAAATGATTAAAACAATTTACGTTTATATGAATCCTTTTCTATTAGAATCTCTATTTAACTTGCCATGTGAGCACAACATTTGAAGTCATTAAGCGCAAAGGGCAGATGTCTCAAAGCACTTAAATGATCTGAGAATAAATTCTATGAAAAGCTTGTGTTTGTTATAAATTGTTATACAGTCTTATCTATATATACTTCTACTGCAAAAATATCCTAAAGGGTAATGTTTGTATCAAATTAATTAATTCATTAATCTTTGCATTTGATATGGCGCCTTATTACATCTTCAAGACGTCTCAAAATGCTTTACAGATACACTGCAAAGTGTGGTGACTGTGTATTTTGTGGGAGAAATGCAGCAGCCAATTGTGGACAGTGGTGTCCCACAAACAAATGGGGTTGGAATCAAGAGGTGTGGAGGGTGGGAGAAAGCATGATCGAAGAGGAAAGGGCCTTGAAGGAGGCAAGGAAGGGGGTGAGGCAGAGGGATTCCGGGATGGAGTTCCAGAGGGTGGGGGCAAAACATCTGAAGGCTATAGGTTTCTATAAGATCCCCTCTAATTCTTCTATATTCTAGAGAATATAGGCCCAAATTGGTCAGCCTATCCTCGTAACTCATCCCCTGGTACTAACCTATAAATCTACGCTGCACCCCCTCCAAGGCAAGTACATCCTTCCTTAAATAAGGAGACCAAAACTGCACACAGTATTCCAGGTGTGGTCTCACCAGGGCCCTATACAGTTGCAGCAAGACTTCCCTACCCTTATACTCTAATCCTTTCATAATGAATGCTAACATACCATTTGCCTTCCAAATTGGTTGCTGCACCTGCAGACTAACTTTCTGTGATTGGTGTACAAGGACACCCAAGCCCCTCTGGACGCTAACACATTCCAATCTCTCTCCTTCTAAAAAGTAACCCGCTCTACTGTTTTTGCTACCGAGGTGGATGACTTCACACTTCCCTACATTATACTTCATCTGCCACTTACCTGCCCAATCACCTAACCTATCTATGTCGCGCTGCATTTTTTTAATGTCATCCTGTGTTGACACTTCCTCCTAGTTTTGTGTCATACGCGAATTTAGATATATTAACTTCGATGTCCTCATTTAAATGAAGCCCATTTTTCTGAAAGAGCTCTCTTTTCCTCCAATACTCATGCCAATGGCCCATAAAAAGAAACCCCTGAATTCCACACCACTCTTTTAGCCATGCGTTCAAGTCCTTAATTTGTTTGTTCCTGTACCAATGTCGTATGGTACAGGCAGCAGTACCGATATTACCACCTTCGATGATCTTGACTTCAATTTGGACCCCAGCTCTTCGAATTCCCTTCTCAAGTCATCTTGGTCAACTCTACCGATGTCATTGGTACCTATGTGAAGTACCACCAACGGATCCTTGCCCTCATATTTTAAACTGTCCTCTAGCCCTGCCGAGACAGCCTTCACCCCGGCCCCAGGGAGGCAACAAAGCCTTTGGGTCTTCTGATTGGTGTTGTGCAGATGATTGTGTCTGTCTGTCTAATAGTCTCATCCCCAATGACAACAACCATCCCCTCGTTTGCCCCAGTGTTAGAGCTAGTTTTTCCTTCCACCTCACCGGCTTCCTTGTCGATACAAGTTCCAAGGATCTCATAACTGTTGCTCAAGGTTAATGCCAGATTTACGACAAGTCTTTCCCGTTGTCCCCCTAATCTCCTGACTGTCCATTGACCTATCCTGGCCATAACCAATGTTGACCGTATATTCCCTCAGGGAGTGACTGTCTCCAGGATACAGCTATCCAGGAAGCACTCACTGTCTCTGATACTCCATAGTGTCTGCACCTTGGATTCCAGCTCAGCCACTCTGAGCTGGAGCTGCCTCAGTCGCGGACATCTTCTGCAGATGTGGTCGCCTGGGGTCAGACTGCCCTTCATCAGCTCCCACATGTCACACTCCTCACATAACACCTGCCAGGCCATTGTCACCTCTTCCAACTTGAGTTAGTTAGTTAGTTAAGTTAATTAAGTTTTAATTTAATCAAGTTGATCCAATTAAGTTGATCAAGTTAAGTTAAATCAATCAAGGTAAGTTGATCAAGTTAAGTCTGTGGTGTGTGATGTGTTGATAGTGATAGTTGTTAGTTCACTGTTCGTCTGTAGTTAGTGTTGATACTGACGTCTCTCTGATGTCACTTTTTAATTTTCTCACTGTTTTTTTATCCTCTGCTCCTGACTGACTGACTGGCTGCTCTCCTCGCCCTGCCCCTCGCTCTTGTGCCGCTGACTGGCTGACTTAAATTTTTTTTAAAAATTAATCAGACATGACTTCAGATTCATAAAATCTCATTCCAAGGCTGACATTTCTTGAAATCCAGCTGTTTCTCAGCTGTTTGCAAAACTCTAGACTGATAATAATAATAATAATAATCCTTGCATTTGATATAGCGCTTTTCATGTCAGGAGGACATCCCAAAGCGCTTCACAGAACACACTGTAAAGTGATTGACTGTATATTTGTGGGCGAACGTGGCAGCCAATTGCGCACAGCAATGTCCCACAAACAGTCGTAGATTGAAAATGACCAATTTATTATTGTTTTTGCTTTTGGAGGGATTATTATTAGGCGTGTGGAGTAAGGAAACTTGCCCAAGGTTTCGCCCTGACCTGCCTGGAATTGAACTCAGGTCTCTCACTTGCAAAGCGAGTGCTCTAACCACTGAACTACAGGACGCCACAAATTGATAATTGCCTGTTTGTTAAAAGGTATACATTAAAAGACACCAGGAAGCTCCCACACACACCTCCCACACAGTTCTCATACACAGAGGTTTCCCCCATCCAGATGATGAGCTCAAGCAAAAAACAGATAGGGTTTGAAACACTTGGACCCAGAGGCAGGAGTGCTATGTACCGAGCCAGACTGAAACCAGTGCAGTGCTGCAGGTTCATTGGCGGAAGGAGAGAAAGAGCAGAATTCCACTGATGAGATTTTACATACTTTCCACAGCACAATGCAGAAGCAGATCACTTAGGACAGTTGACAAAGGACTGCACGTGAGATACAATCTTAGTGTTAAAATACAGCTTATTTAGAAAATTAAGACTGAGAATGCGCAAAAGATTGCCTTAGAAAGCCATAGATGCAGGTTTGATTGAGCCAGTCAAGAGAAAGATAGGTAGAAATGTGGTAAAAATATTAAGGAACATTTGAGATAGAGCTGCTTCCTATGTTTCTAAAGGTCTGTGTGCCCATGACACTGATTGTAATAATTTCATTGTGTTCTAACTTCTTTATCTCATTCCTGTTTGTAGAACAAGTAAAATTCCGTTCCCACACACAAATCTCCCACATTCAACTGAACTGTAATTTAGGAATAAATATGCAAAAAAGCATATCAAACATATTGCTTTTTGCCGACTGCAATGTTTACCATATAAGATGTAGAGCATTTAAATCAAAACTTTTATTTTCATATTTATAACAATATTTCTTTGGTTATCGTAAAAAAACAAAACAATAAATTTACATGCTTGTTTTTTTTCAAAGTACTGATTGTTACTGATTGTAAATAAAACATTTTTTTTCAGTATTATAAAGCAATATATTACAATGTGTCAAATAAGCAATGGTGACAAAACTAATTCAATGTACAATATTAACACAACTTTGCCATCATTGGTGCATACAGGTGGAGAGTGCTTTTTATGTTCTATGGAACAGTTAATGGGATTTAGCAAAGCTGGTGTTTTCTATACCTCAAAAAGTCCAAAGAATGTCATTTCTTCTCCGTATTTAATTGACAAAGTGTTTGCTTTGATAAAGATCTTGGTATCTTCTCGCAATTGATATATGCTCCCAAAGTATACTGATTTAGAACCAGGATACTTTGCTTCTCTTGAGTTTCGTAGTATCTCCATATCGTCATATTTGATAATAAATTCTACATTACTGACATCTTTGAATGTCACTTGAACATAGACAAAATAGTTGCCATTTTTTTTTATTTGCAGGGACTGTTCATTTTCATTGTATTCGGTGCAGTTTCCTGTGAATGCCTGGCCGGTTTCATTGATCCAAGCAAGCTTCTCATTGTTAGGAGATGAACTAGATGCTGTTTCAAAGGAAAACATTTACATAAGATTAACAGCCATCGAGGTTAACAATCTGTATATGTACATGAACTCCGTATAACTTTCTTTCTGGTTGCTATGTTGTTGCACGACATGTCGTAAAGAATAAACAGCACTTTTTAAACAAACCTGTCTTCAAGGTAGGAGGAAAAGGACATCAAAAGTACTTGCATTCGATCAGGTGCCTTATTACTGTATGTCAAAACACCTCAAAGGACTTTGCAGTTTTTTCTGTAAAGTGTACTGACTGGGTACCTGTAGGCAAATGCGGCAGCCATGAAGCGAATGAAAATCCCTTCTCTTTTCGACTAGTGCTGAGGGATCTTTAACGTCCAACACAAACAAACATCTGTGGCCCTGGTTCAAAGTTTCACCCAAAAAACTGCACGTATGGCAATGCAGCACTGCCCTGGAGCGTCAGTCTAGACTGTGAGCTCAAAGTCCAATGTGGCCGTTGAACCCAAAACCTGTCTCAGAAGTGAGGCTATTACTAACTGAGCCAGGCTAACACAGGGTGAACTCATCCTGCCAGGATACCATTGATGCCGCCTTTCCGTTTCTTTTGTTAAAAAAAATCCTGGCCTCAAAAATCTTTTCTGGGTACATGTTTCAGCTATCAATTACTCTTTGGCACCTATCCAAAAATTGCGCTTCACAAATGTCTCTGAACCTAGGACCTTCTGTATTTTAGCTCTTAGTCCTGACATTACACTTCACATTAAATAGTTCTCCTTCAAGAGGAAGCTGTGACAAAGAGTCTGTTTGTTAGCATGTGCATAATGCCTGTGCCTTGTTCAAAGTTCACTGTAGTCACTCCTTCATCCAGATGTCCCCCCACTCAAGATTTCCCATGTAAACAGTTGCAATAATGCCATTAACTTCCGGATTTAATGGGAGAAAGGTCAGAACTTATCAATGGCATTAGAATCGAGGGTGGGAGTTTTTTGTTCAAAGCAAGCTTTTTTGTGTGTAAATGAATCCAGCCCTGTTCTCATGCACGTTCTAACACTCAGTGAGAGAGAGGAATTTATCATTTTAAAAGGTCAAACAAGTTGGTAAATGGAAAAACTGATAAAGGAAAATGCAAGCTACCGTTCCCTGGTGTTAAACCAATTAACGTTGCACTTACAAAAACCTGAAAAACTCTCAACTTGTTATCAAGATGCCAGCAACCCACAACCTTGGGAAATGTCACTTTCACTTCCATTTTTAGTAAGTACAGTTAACTGTTAAAACAAATGCAGGTCCATACTTTGGGCTGCTCACTATTTTAGCTCCATATTATCAATATTTTAGGATTTTTTGTTCAAAACGAAAATGGGTATTTCAGTGGCACACAGTGCCAATGCAGTGCACACGTGTGGCATGAAATTGTGCGCAAATTGGCTTCCATGTTTGCCTGCAAGTGCACAGTCACTACACTTGTCAGCAATGCTTTGAGAAGCTTTAACTGTATAAGTGCGATAAAAATTGCAAGGATGAAGGTTGTTATTATTATTTGTTATTTTTATGTTAAGATGCCACCTGACACCTGCAATTCACTCCCTCCTAGTTTTGTCCAGAATTAGCTTTGGATATCACCTTTCTTGCCCAGAAAGGTCTCCACAAGGGGACCAGGTGCTTTTTAAATGGGGGAGGCGTGTAAGCAGGAGCAAACAAAGCCAGTCCTGTTCTCATGCACATTCTAACACCCAGCTAGAGAAATAAACATCCATTGGTTTAATAGGTCAAACGTTATAATGGATGGAAAAGCTCATATAATGTAAAATGCAAATTTCCTTTCCTTGGCATGAAATTACAGCTTGATGTAATACAGAAATTGCACTTTGTTTTATCTCAAGTATATCAGTTCTTTAAAATGAATCATACTTCTAAAAATATGAATATACATAGTGGAATCATTTGGAGTTATATGACATGAAGCATTCAGAGGACTTACAAATTGTTTGACATTTACTGGCTGACCTAAAGCAGAGTGTTTTTCATTGAATCCTGATACTGTGATGGTTAAGAATACACCAGAGATACAGTGTACTCCTCCTTGACAAGGCACTGTATCAAATGCATGTATTATGATTATTATTATGACTGACTAAACAGTGTAGGGGAATCCATAGTTATTTTACCAACTTTGGCTGGCAGAAATCAATGCATGCATGTAGCAATAGCTGCAGATCCATGAAAAATGAACACTTCTAACTGTCATTGAATTGTTTTTATGCCCCCCCATTATTAAAAGTAAAAGAGTGAAAGGTTAGTATGGCACCATAACATCAGTATAAAATCAAAAACAATGCACAATTGCTTCTGGGAAGTAGCTTTGCTCACACAGGTACAAATCAGACTGCAGAGTTTACACTTGCACTTTCAGCATCAGTGTGCAAGTGAGAGGACAGAAGTGAAGAAGGGAAAGTGACAGGCACAACTGTTCTCCACAGTTAAACTATTGCATTCAGACACCCAGAGAATAATCGCACAATGCAGTACTTACCAGTCCAGTGAGTCGAACATCTTGCGGATTCACTGCTTTTTGAATTTGGCTCCTTAAGCAGAGACAGTTTGACAACATGACAGAAAGAAAGAAATTAAGAATATAGTCAGTGAGAAGAATTGCATATCAAAAACATGTCAATTGTTAAAGATAATCAGATGAATGGTATAGTAAAATATGTCATTGTTAAAGTCAATCAGATGAATTGCATATCAAATTCAAATATCAGATGAATTGCATATCAAAAACATGTCCTGTACCTCATTCTGCATTTGTTGTTTGAGCAAATAAAACGAGAAACAACTCGCTGCAACAACCTGGACAGAGATCAATATGACAACTAAGAACGAAAAGATTATCATCTTTGAACATTTCCCACCGACGTTCCTATACTGCTGCTGTTCACCAGTCAATGAGATGCTCAATGTAGTCTCCATGGTGTTGTGTGATGTTCCAGATCGATGGTCTGCAAGAACTATCTGAGATAGAATGAGAAACAGCTAGCTTTTTATAATCTCAGGCATGCAAATGACTGTCACGGCACGATTTATTGCTCTTCCTACACATTTGCCAATTGCCTGCCTGTTTTAAGTTTGCCTAGTGAAACTGAGAGAAGCAAGTGAGTCTCACTTGGCAAAGTTCCACTGTGAAGGCGTGAGGATCAGCCAACCCGATTAGGAAACAAAAGTAACCCAGAGTCTAGCGAAACCCATTGAGCATAAAAGGGAAACGTCCTCTTAAATGGAAAATGCCCTGTGGGATTTTTTATTTTGTTATCCTGTGGGTGTGAATAAATTGCAATAAAAACCTTTGGGGGGGGGAGGCATTTTTATATCTAATTTCGCCATGGATGCTTGTAGTTGTGTTCCTGAAAGAATGTCTTCTTCAAATGCGAAGATCTAATTATGATAGATTTAAATCAGAACTCGCTCATAATTATGCAGGCAATAAAATACACAGAATACCAGCATGTGGCCTATTTACAGTGTCAACAATTCTCGTCGGGAGTGAGAAAGGGCCACCTTGGGCGTTTGGGGATAAAATGACTTATTTTTACTCAATTTGCCATAAGCAAATAGAACCAAACCTCCCCATATATTCAAAATGTGTTTGCAAGCTGTGCAAGTCTGGATCTCGACCTGGGTCAGATTTGCAGCGTCTTTATTGTGGATTCATTTCATTTTAACATAAAAGAGGGGACATTTGCTATTGGCATGAAAGCTATTTAGGTCATTAGGTTAATGCATTTGCAAGTTGCGTTGACATAAAATCAAAGGAAGCTCATCAGAACTATTCAGAGAACCTTTACGTTTTGACATGATTTATGCTACATTGGGAATAAATTAATTTTAAAAATAATCTTTTTTACCTGTTTGCTTGTTATTGCAAACTGGTGTGCTTAATGCACAAGCTGACAAACAGAACAGCTTAAAAGAGGCAAAACTTGAGCTGGGTAGTTTGCAACATTAAGATATGGATGTGTCTTTCTAGATTAACGATGGGTTTCAGTGACAAATAAACCTTGAGATGTTGCATTGTCAAAAGGAACCTTGTACTGAAAATTGCGTAATTACCCAATAGCGTGGGTGACCTCTTACATTGTTAAAGGGACAGGATGGAAATAACAGTTCGATAATCTTTTTGGCCACGGGTAGTCTTGGAAGTGCAAGGTTATTGGTGTTCCTGATCTGTATTTCATTTGCCGAGTTCCACACAGCAATTTCACGCCAGCTATAGGGTGAATTTGAATGATCCCGCTCAGGTCTCCCACAAAAATAACATCCCCCAAAAAACACAAATCACTGCGTTTGATTTATTGAAAAGGTCCTGTATAAGATATCAAGACTGAAACAAAATGCATTTGCCACACCAAGGTTTACAAAGCTTTGAACAATTAAGAGCAAGTTGTTTATTCAAACAGTGCAAACCCTGAAGAAGCAATGACTGAGACACAGGCAAAACATTGGGCGAAATATTGGGGCAATGATAATCCTTGCATTTGCATTTGCTATAGCGCTTTTCACGTCTTCTAGATGTCTCAAAGCACTTAACAGAACAGACTGTAAAGTGAATTGACTATATTTGTGGGTGAAATGAAAGTTGTGGGCGAGTTTCCTTACTCCACCCACCTCTGTATACCTAGCAATAAGTAGGAAGCCTTTTGTTAGTCGATTGGCGGATCGCTTTTCTGGCGGTACTAATTCCTTCAAAAAATAATTGGTCATTCAGTCCATGACTGTTTGCGGGACGTTGCTGTGCACAATTGGCTGCCGGGTTTCACCCACAAAATATACAATTAATTCACTTTACAGTATATTCTGTGAAGCACTTGAGACGTCTCGAAGACGTGATAAGACGCTATATCAAATGCGAGAATCATTATATTTATTATATATATTCAGCCACATTCATATATTCATATATATTCAGCCACACTCCTACCCCTATCCTCCCTGTCCTCTACCCCCCTGATCCCAACACCCTGCTCAGGTCTGAGATGCCATCCGGCGTGGAGGGCGCCATATAAATCCAAGTTGGTGTTGTTGTCCTCCAAATCCTTGACTGTCCAGAAGCTTAGAACGTCCACCCGATGTGAAAGACGTTTTACAAATGTAATTTGTTGTTGTTGTTATACGCACACCTATTAAAATCGTGCAGCTATTAAAATCACACAGTATATCGTCAAATTCGTACAGTGAGAAAACGTTGCACTCTTAACGATGAAGCATTAAGCCCCTTTATCGGCCCACAAAATACACCCAAAAAAAAAAGACGTCAACTGTTCATTGCGAAATCGGTAGGTCACTGTGTGCACAAACGTTATTTTCTCCTCGTTTCGCCAGGGATAGAGGTGTGGACATTTCACGCGAGTGATAAGTGTGTGTGTGTGTGTGCAGACACCAACTGCAAGATCTTTCAGCTCAATCTGCCATCGTGCACACACACAGCAGTTTCAGAAGGGAGGTTGGTTGATTGACTTCTCTTTGACCGTGCCTTCAGCTCCCCTCTCGACTCTCTTCCTCCTCCTCGCTCCCTCCCTTCCCTCCCCTCACCCTGACCATTTCCCCTCCTCTCTCCCTCCCTTCCCTCCCCTCACCCTGACCATTTCCCCCCTGCTCGGGTCATGACCCAACTGTGCAGCGCCTTGGGACGTCCTCCTGACGTGAAAGGCGCTCTATAAATGGAATCTTGTTGTTGTTGTTGTTGTTGATTGATTGATGGATGGATGGATGGATGGATCGATCGATCAATTGATTGATTGATTGATTGATTGACTGATTGACGTGACACAGCTCTCTTCAGGGATTTCTTTTCGATTCCCGGCGCCGTCTCTCTGGCACATCCGAGATTTTCTCATCATCGCTAAACAATGCCCAGTGCCAGTGTAGTGCGTACAGGTGAGTGTCTGCAGGTGAGTGCGTACAGGTGAGTGTGCACAGGTGAGTGTCTGCAGGTGAGTGTGCACAGGTGAGTGTGTACAGGTGAGTGTCTGCAGGTGAGTGTGCACAGGTGAGTGTGCACAGGTGAGTGTCTGCAGGTGAGTGTGTACAGGTGGAAAAGATTGCGCAAACGATTGCGCTTTCCCTCTGCGAATTCACGTGGCAGCCGAGGAGAAAGCGACGGACTATTCCGACTTCCAGGGGTTTCTGCAACAGTCTTGAGATTTCACTCCCATTTCACTGGTCCCGAAACGATAACCACTGAGCAATTTCAGACTCCAGAAACGAGTGTTTCGGCGCAAACACCAGACATCGCTGAATTGTTACCATCAGAGCACCCGGTGGTTCTGCTCTGCTCAGCGTCTCTGCTCATTCAGAGAAAAATGTGGATGTGTTTCTTTTTAGTATTCATAGTACAATAATCCTTACGTTTGGGTACAGTAAGTACGGATTTCGTCGGATTGCACCGTTAAGTGTTTAAGGACTGCGTTTTGTTTGGCAACCGTTTACAAGTTGCTCAAAAGTCATTGCTCTCAAATTGATTGAAATAATATATATATGTAAAATATATATTAGCTTTAAAGTTTGGTTTCAACTCATCTGTACGTTGCAAATGTGTACTTAAGATATGTTATCAAACGCAAGTATTATTATTAGTGTTATCGACTGAATACGTAGTGATATATAACAATAGTCTACCAATCGATTCCGAATGTCTTTGCGGATGAAATGTTAACAGTATTCAAGGTTTTCACAAACAGCATTGGTCTTTCTTTTTTTGTGTGTGTTTGGGCTGGTAAGTTATTTTCTCTCGTTTCGCCAGGTTTCTGTGGGTTTGGGGGAAAAGCTGTGGACATTCACACCAGTGATGAGAGAACATGTGTGTGTGTGTCTGTCTGTGTGTGTGTGTGTGTGTGCAGATACCAATTGCAGGATACCTTTACACGTGTAACATACATGATTAAATGGGCTGAGGCATGTTGCTTGTTAAAATGAAACTGAAGGTTGGACGATTGAGAGTGGAATTACCGCTCATACCCCACCAGTAGCGCTCGGTTTTATTGCAGATACCAAGTCCCAATAAATCTGGAACCGCCCTCAAAGGTAATCCCCAGTTTTAATGAGCATTTGTTTTCTGTATTGCTTCACTCTTTCATTGCTGCCGCCTTCACGTGTTTGGAATAACCTGGACGGAATCCCCAGTTTTAATAGGCGCTTCTATATCGCTCCTTTTTTCTTTATTGCAGTCTTCCCAAATAAATCTGGAATGCCCTGTACGGGATCCTCAGTTTCAATGTGATCATTGTGAAGTCTGCTGCAAAATAACAACGTGCATTGTGTCGGTCTGCACCGTTTCGATTTGCAATACCGCCTGACACAGCAAATCTGGAATGTGCAGTCAGGTCGGGGACAAAAAAAAGGCGCAGTTCTTCATCCTCACACACAGATCTTTTCCTTGCACCCCATTAAGTAAGTTCATTCTCACCTGTTATTGGGTACATGGAGCGGGGGAGAGGCTGATGCAATGTTCTCATTGGAAGAGAGGGCGAATCTGTACACAATATATCTGAAGTTCTGTTAAAGTTGGAGAGTTCCACATATCCAACCCAATTTGTGGACAACTCAAGGAACAAGGAAATTTCTCTGTGTCTGGAATCGATGTTCACTCTAACTCCCTGGACCACATCCTTAACCACAGAGATTATGACCACAACACCAGGATGGGTGTATATAATGCATTATTATAATAATAATAATCCTTACATTTGGTGAGGCAACTTTCGTGTCAGGAGGAGAGCCCAAAGTGCTTCACAAGCTAGAGTGTAGTGTTTGTATGTGTTTTGTGGGCAAACACAGCAGCCAGTTTGTGCACAGCAGTACCCTACAATCAGGTCGAGGAATGAATACCCAATTTTATTTGGAGTATTGTTGGCCAGGTCATAATAGTAAGCTATGCGATTTTAGCGGGTTACACTCTAGCAGTACCCCAACGCACACCGTGGGGTCCCCAAGCCTTGGCTCTTGCCAGCCTGCACCTAATACTTTCCGGAACAGGTAAGCAGGATGCATCCCTCCAGGTAGAGAGTGCGCATTCCAACAATCTATCTCTGGGTTTTCCATGGGTAGGTGGGATGCATGGAAATCTCAGCTTG